ATTCCTCGAGGGATTTTGGTCCATGTGGACATGATGGTATCACACAGTTGACGTGTGGCATTAACGAGGCATTTCCAGCTAAACACCTGCTCACTGTGTGTTTTCTATTTTTCAGTCGGACTCTAAACCCCAGAGATGTTTGACACAAAGTCTGTTTATTCAGCCTCGTAGGTTATCAGGGGACTGCTTTTGAGCCTAGCGTACGTATCCTGTCACCTCCAGGATCAAATGTATAACTATTTATTAAACACCCAGCTATCAAAAATATCTGAGCTCTGTTGATTTTAGCAGTTTGATTAAACAATTTTTTTTAAATTGCCCCTTTGGTGCACTTAGCGTGGTGGAAATGCTTACACACCACTCCAGTCTATATTTGCACACTCGGTTTGTTGACATCTTTTTATTCTCAGAAGAGCTCGGCCCTTCTTCCACCTCACCGCGCTCTTTATCGGCAGGGAATTCAAAAACACTTGTGTAGGTGTCGTGGGACTTTAAAAATAGGACCTGACACGAGGCGCGTCTGCGAGGTGGGACCTGCAGATTAAATAATAATGCAGGACACAGTGTGCCTGCAGGCTCCAGCAGGAGGAGGTTGTTCAAGAAAGTTGCATCAATTTAAGATGCAAACAGACTAATGTGAGGAGTTTTTGGATCAGTCTGGGTACTTTGACTCCTACATTATGTAAAAATACGTTTTTCAATCCATTTTGATTACACTGTGTAACACAGTTTTTGTACCTGTGTACTTGTTTGTGCTTCAAAGGTAGAGCAAGCATGTGATAGAGAGGAACTGTGGTTCTTTATGAAGAGGGTGATGCAGTATGAAGAAATTAATTCACGTCGTGTTTCTCTTCATTAAGTATCCTGGTAAACAGGCTTGCAAGCCCAGAGAGTGTGTCTGGAAAGGTAAGCTGACCCTGAACCACTGTAAAAATCTGCCATCTATGATGGTACACGAGAGAACAGGAGGAGACAACAATCAGTGCAGGGTATGATTTACATGTGGTTGCTGAAAAGAGACTAAACATACGGCACCAACAGCCTGTAGGGTGAGAAGATGAAACAGTAAGACAAATAATACAGAGGTGATACAGTGGTGTCAAAAACACCAGGGGGTAGGTAACTGTCTTGGTTACAGGTATGGTATGCAGAAACAACAGAATGTTAAATGCTAAACATTCAGAGAAGTGAGTCTCTCTCAATATTCATTATCAGATAGGAGTGAGATGGGTTCAAGGCAGGGGGTGATGCTGCTCTGAGCCCCTTCTTGTTTACGGTGGTGGTGGACAGGTTGACAGATGAGGCCAGGCAGGAGTCTCTGAGGACTCTCATGTTCACAGACACTGTGATCTGTAGTGAGAGTAGGCAGCAGGTGGAGGTGAGCCTGGAGAAGTGGAGGCATGGATGAGTTTAAATACCTGGGGTCAACCATCCAAAGCAACAAACGGCGCACAACAGAGGTGAAGAAGAGAGTGCATTCAGGGTGGAGTGGGTGGAGGCGAGTATCAGGGGTGATTTGTGACAGAAAGGGAAGGTTTACAAGCTACTAGTGAGAACGTGTTGACCTGTGATGATGGAGACGGCAGCACAGAAGGTGGTGGAGTTAAAGATAGTGTTGAGGTTGAACAGTTGAACCTGAGCTGGTTTGGACCTGTGCAGAGGAGGAACCGTGGATACACAAAAGATGCTGAATCACCACCCTACAGAGGGTGGTGAAGGCAGCAGAGCACATCACTGGCACGAGGCTTCCTGCCATTCAGGACATTTA